ATATCTATATATATATATAAAAAGGCAAATTTCTGCAGAAATAGTGAAGCATTGCTTTGATACTGTGCATTCTACTTAGTATATCCCTTTTGCAAATCAAATTTGCTTTGTAAATAATTCATTTAATTTACTCTAGATACTTAAAGGGGTTTTAAACCCTCCATTTTCTTTGCCTATATCTACTGCTAGCAAGCAGTAGATATATGCAAAAAGTTAAAAAAAAAATTTCCTGATGAAAACATCAGGAAAGAAGAAGAAGATCAGATTAAGAGACATCATTTAAGGTAAGTGCTAACATTAACATTGGGGGGAGGGAAACATTTTTTTGACTTTAATGTCACTTTAACAGTAGTTAGGATTCACTTTGGGATTTTATTACAGCATGGGAGAAAGATCTACAAATCTCCTTGACTAATGAGGAAGTGCAAAAATCTTTTATATTAAGTCATAGGATATCTATTGCCTCTTCATATCAAGAGAAGGGGTATAAGATCTTATCTCGTTGGTATAGATGTCCGACCCTCCTACATAGAATTTTTTCGTCAAAATCATCAATGTGTTGGAGATGTGGGAGTGCAGAGGGAACGTATCTTTATGTATGGTGGAACTGTGAACATATAATGCCTTTTTGGAAATATATGAAATTTATAATCAGGTAGCTGGCGCTGTAGAGGTTCCATCACCTAAAATAGCCCTTCTTTCAATTTTCTCAGGCTCGATATCCACAAATAAAAAGGATCTTCTTAGATTCTTTGTGGCAGCAGCAAGGATACTAATTCCACAATATTGGAACACACAGAGTTCCAAATATCAAGGAATGGGCTGTGGAACTAAAGGAGAGCTATGGGGTCAGGGCTTTTCCCCATAGTTCTCCTAAGGGTCACGGGATAACACAAACTAGCGTTCTCCCGTGACCCAAAGCTCAGTATACCGCGAGCCACAGCTTGCTGTATACAAATACGCCGCAGCCGGGACAGATCCCGACATTGCTGTCGGGATCCAACCAGCTGCGGGATTCACAGCTGGCTCTGCCTATCCAGAGGTAGAGCCAGCTGTGCCCACCCCCTCCCCTGTCTGTTCCGCCAGTCAGCGATGGAGGGTCGGACAGGGGAGGGGGGGAATCCCTGCAGGGAGCCGTGAGTGACAGTCACGGCTCTCTGTAGGGATAGATCGAGAAGTGAGTGAGCGACAGTTTCATTGTCACAACTTGGCTCAGATTATGAGGCTGAGTGAAAATCACTTGCCTCATAATTCTCATTTAAGTAAGATTCATAGATATGAGGAATTAACGGCACATATTAATGAACAATATTCTCAGTAGGAGGATATGTGGAAACCCTGGAAAAGGTAAAAGGATACAAATGCATGTGGATTCTTATGATAAAGGGAGGAGATCAATTTATGGTAGAGAAAAACATAGGAGCTATATTAAGCAGTATGGTAGTATAAAGGAAAAACAGGATTATAGGTGATCATAAGTATAGTGGAGACTATAGATGGGAGAGGAGGAGGACAGGGAGGAGAGAGATAAGGGGGGAGGGGGGTGGGAATATATAGATATATATAAATATATAAAGGTATGATATCAGATATTTGCAGCTTTTCTCACAAATAAGTGTTGAAAAGATAGTGAATTGGGTGAGAAATAAATATTATGGGTGATATAATGAGACGCCCAATATGTATATGTTTAAGGATATGTGAATCAGGGTTGTGCCTATCTAATGTATGTTAACTATGTAATCAATAAAATGTTATTATTCTAAGATTCGCTTTGGGGTTGAAAATCATAAAAGAACAGGTCTGAGCTTTTCCACTTTAGGATCTGAGTCCATACTTGTAGATTAGTTACAAGCAGTAATATATAGAAATACGGTATACAACTGTCAATACTTTACAGTGGCAGGATTTAATTGTATGGTCAAGTACAGTATGATTAAACTGCCCAATGATCATGGTCAGCAGATGGATTTACAGTTGTATGTCAAACATTAGACAGAGGCAGACAATTGAAATGGTGAAACATACAAAATATTTTAAAATAAAGAATTACATTTGTATGAGCACTGTATACCAGGTATTCCAAATTAAAAACTGCTTAATTGTTAATGATTATTTTCTTTAATGCAGGATGCTTATTAAAAATGCATAAAGTATTGTTCTAGATTCACTGCAGTGTTTTCCTCTGTAACTTTAAAGGAGAACTATGACATGAGTGATTTCCACTCACGTCATAGTTCTAAGCCGACCTGTGACAATGAGACTGTCACAGGTCGGCTCAGTAGATCGGGAGGTGAGAGAACACATACCGGGTTCCCTCACCTCTCGATCCTGTCACGGCTCTCTGCCGTGACAGGGGGAGGGGCTGGATTCCCCTCTCCCCGCTCCGATCTGCCAGCGCTGACTGGCGGAACGGACGGGGGAGGGGGCGGGTACAGCTGGCTCTGCCTCTAGATAGGCAGAGCCAGCTGTCACTCACGCAGCTGGGCGGATCCCGTCATCTAAGTCGGGATCCGCTCCAGGTGCGGCGTCTCAGTATACCGCGAGCTGCAGCTCGCGCTATACTGAGCTTAGGGTGACGGGAGGACGCTAGTTTGTGTCCTCCCGTTACCCCAAGGAGAACTATGGGGAAAAACACTGACCCCATAGTTCTCCTTTAAATGGGTGTCTGTCAAGAATTATACATATTATTGACTATTTCGTAAAGCTGTGTGCATTTTAAATTTTAGCCCTCCTCCATGAATCAACATTTTTTAAATCAAAAAATAAATCAAAAACTATCTATACAGCTGAAAACTATCACTGTCTTTTAAAATAATGGACGGATCTATTTCTCAACATCTAATATCCACATAAGGAGTCTGGCCGGATTTCAGTTTGTGCACTTTTTGTACCACAGCAGCATTAATTTGGAACTATGCCATACCATCATATCATGAAAGAGACCAGGTAGCAGTTAAGCAAATAATAGAAAATGTTTTAGTAGTAGTAGTGTATATTTTAAAATCTGCTTTGCTGGCAATTTGCCCAATACACCCCTTTTATCAGCCTTGCTCCCAATGTGAGAGTTTATAAGGTGTTATTAGTGTAGACTCATACAATAATGAGTCTATTGTATGAGTTCTCTTTTGAGTTCTCACAAACTCCTAAGAGTATGTTCTTTGACAATCTGGAGTATGTGTGTGGTATAAATAGGACAATGCAATATACAGAACCCTATAAAAAGGTAAAAACATCCATACCAAGCAAACTGGAAAAGATTCAGCCACAAGAAAACATCTTCCTGTCTGCCTGGTGTAGACACAAAGAGGTGGGAAGAATTTATGCAATACTTTATCATTTGTTTTAACCACTTGGTCTGTTGGTCAATGGGAAGATAAAGAATAATTTCCATTTCAGAGAAGTATTAAGTATAGAATTGGCATCAACAACTTTTCCTGGGAAAACGGTGTGTTGATGTGTGTGTATATTCCCACATACCACATATTTCCATCTAGAGTTTGCAGGCCGAAATGCTTTCTTCAGAGAAACGGACGTAGGACCCAAGTGGGAAAAGGGGTAAACAGAAGGACCACACATTTTCTAGACAAGAGGCTTGTGTAGAAGCTGGAGATGAGGCATCTTCACCATAGAGCAACTCTAAAGCTGCACTACAAAAGAGAGAGACTGCCAAGATCAAGAACAAATTTCCCTGGATCACTTAATGCCTAAAGTCCTGTTCAATAAGGAAATCATGGACCAGCTATAATAGGAGCTAAGTGACTTTTAGTGTATCCCTACTACATACAGACTCATGTGCATGTTTGTATGTATGCATATTTGTAGCGCTCTGTATGCTCTGTATTCATTTCCTGTAACTGTAAATAGTTTGTATATGCACCATTTTTGTTTAGTAAAAGCACATTAATATATTACTGGGTTGGTTTCCTTTCATGTTTCTACAAGAATTAGGCAAATTGTTAGATAAAAAGTTAAAAGCATAACAACTGAGGATTCTTAGCTAGAATTTACACAAAAGTCCAATTGAAGCAGACCTGTTTTCTGTAGTGTTGCATTTGCTAAGCAAAATGTTGTGTAAACTGTTCAGGAAAAGCAAGATTCCAGAGGTTTCTAGTGACTAGGAGGGAGCGTGCAACCTGCCTGCTTGAGCCAGAGACAGTCAGTGAATGCCACATGCTAAGGAATTAGCCAGTTATTCTTTTGTGGGGGGGCCACAGAGGCAGGAGGCGGGTCTCTCTCCCTCTCCCTCCTCATAGTCAGTATTGGTGCCTCTATGTGGCTCTTGTATTGACTGGAATCGGCCCTGACTGCTTGTTGGCACTAAGGCTGAGCAATAATTTATTTTTTATGAGAATGCAAGTTACTATTCCTTACATTGCTCTGCAATGTTAGTCCCAAACTGATACCCAAAACTGCACAGGAATCTTACCCAAATCCACTCTGAGGTTACTTATCCTTTGTGAAAGGAAGGCAAGTCACCAGTGACAGCAGTGAGGGCAGGGACAGCAGAAGACAGAAGCCCATATGCATTTGTCACTGAATGGCAGGAGAAATCAGCTTCTCCTACACGTGATGGCTTTAGAGGACATTGGAGCTGAAGTCAGGCTTTTACAAGGAAACCCCTGCCATCACAAAGGAAAAGTGATTTATGTAGAAGTTTTGGGAGGGAAGACCACACCGGCAGTCAGGACACAGGTGAAACCGGCTATTGGTAACAGAAAAGGAGTTATCTGAAAATATTATTGGAATGCATGTACTTCAAGGTCAGTCAATCCAGACTTAATGGGGTAAATCCACATTCAAGTATGCTCATAAAACATATCTAGTAAGGCTGTGGTTAGAGGTCATGTGAAATTAACCAGTCTACATTCTGTGTTAAGTGTACAGACTGCCAGGAGGGGAATTGGGGAAACTATTGTAAAACTGTTGAGAGTACAGAACCTTAGACCTGATGTAAGCCCTTTCTCTGCTCCGATATGCCCAGTAAAGTAACCTGATGGGACATGTAGAACGACCGCGGATTACAGAGGCCTAAACAGAGTGGCACCTCCATTGAAGTTAGCTTTGCCTGATATGATCTCCATCCAGTGGCGTAACAATCACCATAGCGACCCAGGCGGCCGCTATGGGGCCCGGGCACAGGGGGGCCCGGCCAGGGCATCCCTCTGATGCCGTATGGGCCGCCTGGGTCGCTATGGCGTCTTGGGGTGCTGGCTCTCACTGACATAGCTCAGCAGCAGCTGTGAGGGAGAACGTTCCCCCTCACAGCCGCAGTGGAGCTGTGTCAGTGACAGACAGCAGATGCTGCAGAATAGGCCGGTTACACCGCCATTTGCAGTAAAGAAGGAGGCCGGGCCCACCTAACAGCAACCCCGCCTCCTCTCACATCACTGGCCAGCGATCTACGAGCAGGTGGGGCCAGTGATGTAAGAGGAGGCGGGGCCCGTCAATAGAAGGAGGCGGAGCCCGGGGATGGAAGAGGAGGCGGGGGCCCGGCGACCACGGAGGTGGACAACGCTGACACGTAAGAGGCGTGCAGCCCAACTGAGACCTTGCAGAGCACACTATAGATATTCTATGGTGGGCTCTGCAAGGGACATAACTAGCAATCACGGGGCCCCATACAAAATTTTGCTATGAGGCCCTGTGATTTCTAGTTACGCCCCTGTCTCCATCATTGAGAAGATTGCAAATGAGGCAGGAGAATATGATGCTGTGATAGACCTGGGTAATGTTTTCTTTTAAAGCCAAAAAGACTTGGAGTGACAGGACCAGTTTGCCTTTGTGTGGGATGGCTGCCCATACACTTTCTTGATGCTTCCTCAAGGGTACCTACATTCGCCAATGATATGTCACAAATGAATAGCCTCATAGGCTGAGATTTACGCACCCTGAATTTGAAAGTCACTGTGTTTCACTACATCCATGACATCATGATCTGTGGAACCAAAGATGATGTAACTGAAGCACTACATCTTCTGATACAGAACATGGAGAATGGAATATGGGCTGTAAACAGAGGAAAATTCCAGAGACAGTTGTGCAAGCTATCCCGGGACTATCTCCCACTATTACCAAAAAGGAAGCAAAAAAATGTATTGGAATTGTGGGATTCTGCAGATCATTCATCCCACTTCTTGCATTGATCCTTAGGCCCATATACAATGTAACCAGGAAATGACTGAGTTCTCGTGATGCTCCAAAAAGCAGACCACCTACCTTTTTACTAAATTAGCCTTCTTGCAGCACCAGTCACTGGGACCCATGAGGCCAGGGGTACCATTTATGCTGGATATAGTGAAGCAGGATAGTAGCATATCCAAATAAAAAGAAAAGAAAGCAAGCAATACTCTTTGGATTTTGGTCCAAGCAATTGATAGGGGCACAGAAAAGATACACTCTGGAGAAGTACCTGTTTGAGGTCTAAGTAGCACTTAAGCATGTAGGCACCATTATAGGAAAGGCCCTGTCACCATCTGTACTGCATTGCCAATAGCAGGATGGGTGAGAAATGCTGGATTGACAACTAGGGTAACTGTAGTCCAGAACAAGACACTGATGAAATTGAAGTTGTAACTTCAGGACCAAGGGGTTATGCAGCTGGGAATATCAGAAACATTTCAAATTAACTGGCAAGCCTTGTGACTTTTACCAGCATCCAGCCAGAAGAATAAATCCTTTTGCTGCAGCTATTCCCCCATTTAAAAGGCCTCACCATTTGAGTCTCTGTCAGAAGAGGACAATGAGTCAATGTAGTTCACTGAAGGTTCAGCCACAGTCCCTTCGTTAGTGGACAGCAGCATCCTACAACCCAAGTACTGACACAGTCCTGCAGGAGACCAGAATTGAAGGATCCAGTCAGTATGCAGAGTTGAGTGCTGTAGTAATGATTATTTTTCCCATGTCACTATTAACACTGAGAGCTGGATGGTCTTTAAAAGACTTACAACTTGTTGGATGTCCACATGAAGGTACAATGACAAGAAGATTCATGGAAAAGTGGTGTGGGGAGGCAAGGAAGTATTTGACTACATCTGAAAATAAGGCAACTCCTGCACCGCAAAAGAAGGGCTTGTGTACACAGTTGTTCCCATGTTTCAGACTTTGAGAACTATAACAGAGTGGCAGATGAGATCACAAAGGTGGCTGTAGTTGTGGCAATTGATCCTGTCTTGATGAACTTTTCCAACTGTGTTTACAAGTAATCAGAACATTTGGGGAAGACGGAAACATACAGTTTGAATGGGTGCAGCAGAAATGATTGCCCATAACCATGCACATAATAAACACTGTAATAGGTAGCTGTACAGTGTGTTGAGAAGTGCGTCAATAGCTATTGCAAGACTACTCCACAGGACAATCCAGAGGGGCAAGAGGCCTGCAGAGATTTGGCAGACTGACTTCATCAGGCCACTGCCCCAGGAAAATCAATCACTATCCCTGGACGCATCGAATGTGCATCCAGGAAGAGTGTTTTCTAACTGCATGTAATCATATCACACATTATATGCGGTGTGCTGGCATTTACATGCAGCGGCTGTCACCTGATCATTAACTTGAATGGGTGACAGTTGCCGCTTGTAAATGCCAGATTAGGGATTCCTGCTGGAGGAAAACGCAAGTTCCTGATGCAGAAATCCCTAGTCGCACCTAAACTTACAGATATGAATGGGGCCGTATTGTGAGTATATTAGTGTCCGTAGTACCATACAGAATATAGTTACATTTTATTTTGAAGTATGAAATTTGGCAAGCGGCCTGCATGGGAGAAAACAATTTGTCAAGTGGCCCCTGAGTGAATTGAGTTTGAAACCCCTGCTTTACAGCATCAAAAGTTCCAAGTTCAAAAAACAATGCTCCACTGGGAAATGTCAGTACATTCCTTTCTCCTGCCTATTGGTGTTCTATTGGAGGATCAGAAATAGAATATCAGGTGGCAAAGTATTGGTCAGAGATCTACAAAAGAAGCCAGTTAGAGGAGAGTGCACAGCTGATGGGTCTACTGTTTATTATTAGTAGGCGGAATGAACAGTGGTGGAAATATGGAAAGTGTTATATTGTTTGTTAATGAATGTTTGGTGAAAGTGTGTCACGCCTGCTCTGATTGAAACGGATAGGATCTCAACTGCGGAGGGTATAAGCTAACGTAGGTAGTAGTTGAAGGCTTCTCAGGCGTGAATCTCAGGCGTCGCTCCCAATCTTTATCGGGGAGTTAGAGATTCTTGCATCACAGCCTTAGAACAAAAAATAGAAAGGGTTGAGAGGTGTGGGCTATTGCGTCATAGCTTACAGTCTCTATATAGTAAGGAAACTTGAATACGGATAAGCAGTGAGGAACAATGACCCCGTATTGACAGGGATTGAGCAATGTGAAAATCCCCACAGACAGCTGATAGTAATCCTCTAGACAGTCTATATCACTTTAGCGAGGTTGCTTCAAAATATTAAGGCTTAGGACTCCAACTGGAGCAATACGGTTTGCACAATGTGAGGGATGCAGTGATTCCTGTACTCGAGAGGAAGGTTCCGGCTCTGACAATCCAGGGGAGATGGTCCTAGGCTTCAGGAGGCAACAGGCGCTTCTGAACCCAATTGTGGAACGCCATGTTGCCTCAGCTGAGCCTTTAAATACCCCCAGGAAGCAGGAGGAGCCGTCGGCCGGAACGAGCGGCTTCCGTGTTCCACAGTGGAACGCAAGCCGCTCGCCTCGCAATCAGGAAGTCGAGTGGCTTCCGCGTTCCACCGCAGAACGCAGAGAGGCCACTACAGCAGAGGGGACGGTCGGAGTGACACTTCCCCGCCGGGACCCGTTACAAAGTGTTTTCATAAATTCGGACGCATCCGCATTTCTGAATGCAAAAAATAACAAATTCGAACGAATCTGAATGTTACGAAAATTAGGATGCATCCAAATTTGTGGAAATTAACTGAAAGGTGTTAGACAATCCAAAAAGAAAAAAAAAAAAGCATGAGGTCCCCCTCAGAATTCATACCAGACCTTTTAGGTCTAGTAGGAATTTTAGGGGGGACCCCGACGCCAAAAACAAAAAAGTGTCTTCAACCAGACCCTTGATCCGAGCAGCAGCAGCCTGGCAGAGCAGGAAAGGGGGGGGGGCGATCGTGCGCCCCCCTGCCCCATACCAGGCCACATGCCCTCAACATGGGGAGGGTGGTTTGATAAGGGGAGACCCGATGATTGGGGGGGTCTGCGGGCAGGGGGGCTTATCTGAATCTGGGTGCCCCCTTTTATAGATGCCACCCCCCTTGTGGATGAGTAACGGGTAGTTTACACAGTAAAATAGTAAATAAACACACCACACTGGTTTGTAAAGTCCTTTATTAGTAAATAAACACAGCACACCGTTTTTGACAAATCCTTTATTAAAACAAAAGTCCCAAAATGTAAATCCATTGTCAATCACATTGCCCTTTGATGTAGATCCTCGTCAATCACTATGCCGATTAAACAAAAGAAAAAATGCCTGATGCCACATCCAAACCCAACGAACTCTCACCGCAAGTGACAGCTCTGTTTCTGAATGTAAACAAAGGGGCAGAGCAAGTAATGACGTCATGGGACTTCCTCCGCCCCTTTGATTACATTCCATGACAGCTCTTGGTCCCCTAATGGAATGTGTCCATCTCAAGATGGAGGAAAGAACGAAAACTGCTGGACCCCATGT